ATATATATGAAGAAAAAAAATATATTTCACCTCTCTTTGGTCCTCTTACGTCAATAAAGGTACACACTCTTAAAACAAATGTGTAATTTTGCATGTTTGTACAGTTGTTACTGTGGGAAATGAGGACAGGAGAGTCGATTAAAGATTACACAAATCAAATAGCTGCCTATGACTGACAGAAATGAAAAATGTAATTACTTTTCCAGGTCAAAAAATGGACCCAAGAAACCCGCTCTTAGAATTCACTAGGCACAGCAGAAGAAAATCATGTTCAAGGAATTATGCCATTCGGGAATAATTATCTCCCCACTTTTTAATGTTAAGAATCTTATCTCATAAAGGCATTCAGCAAAGATTATAAAATAGAACAAAAAAAAAAGACAGCACTTTGCCCTTAAACATTAACTAAGTTTGCTTCCCTTGCATCTTATCCTGAAACCAAGACATCAGGGACTCTGGTTTGAAGTGAGAAACTCATACACTGATGTCTAGCCATGTAAGTTGTAGGTCTTCGGATAACAGCAGTTCTTTGTAGGTACGGAAGGAAATAAAGGCATGCAGTTTTGCCCTGCAACTAGCAGTCAGAGCAAAACTCTGGACTGGGCATGCCTGGTATAAACTCTAAATAGGAAATTGGTTGTCTACCCACCTGCTTGATTGAGCAGTCCTTTTTTTTGGTTCTGGCCAGAGATGGGTACGAACCTTGGTTCAAAGGTTCATGCCGGCTCATATGCACAGCTCCACAGGTGACAAAGGTTCCTCTTCCCCGCCTTCATGGCTAATGACCCGCTTACCAGCCAGTGTGTGCTCTTCCTCTTCAGCTGTTCAATAGGTTCCCAGCAGAAGTACAGGTTTGCCTCCCCTGCCTCCTTGCCTGAGTGGGTAATCAGCCAAGGAGATAGGGCACGGAAGCCTGTGCTCCTGTCCCAGACTGGTTGAACAGTTGAAGAGGAGGAGAAAAGGAGTGTATACCAGCTTGCAAGTGGGGGGCTAGCCGGGAAGATGGGAAGGAAAGGCGCAGCACCTGTGATGCCATGCATCTGAACCAGCATGAACCACCGAACTGAGGTTCGTGGTCATCTTGTTCTCAGTGACCTTGACCTGAAGAACATACCTTTTAGGTCCAGAGAATAAGATACAACCACACACAATGCCAGCCAAGCTTCAACGTAAGGGTGACCTGTGAACTCCCCATCTTGTTCATTTGGTTCACCCCGCAATTTGATCTACACTTTGTAATGTTTTCTTCCATATATTCTCAAACTATGTACCTGCGAAAAGCAATTCCCTCATATACAACTTCCTACTGTGGCAAGTCAGTTAAAACTCTGTAGAGAGGTAGTGACGCTGATTGTGATGTTTCCCAAGAAACACTGAACAACTTTTCTTGACCACGGTCATTTTAAGTATATATGTGCATTTTAAGTATATATGTGCCTTTTTATTGCATCAGTTCATCCGCATTTTAAACATACAATAGATCAATATATATATATATAATCTGCATTTTTTTCTTTCTCATTATACCTTTGGACAAAAAAAAAACACAATAAAAATGTTTACATCATTTGCTCCAAGACATTACATTAAATACAACATGTGTGTTTTGCTTTCACTGAAAGGTCAGTGATGAGGAGACAGAAGAGAAACAGTTTGCTGGAGTTTGGGGACTGGTGGTGCAGAGGTGGGTGCAGCTGAAAGCAGCCCAATCACACAACCTAAAAAAGAAGGGATCTTATAGGTTCACCAGGGCTCAACACCACAAAAAGAAACAAAAAAGGAACTGGAAAAAAAAATCTAACCTCACATTAAAATAAATCTATCAGTTATAATTCAAGTACACTGCAGCAGCGGTTCCCACAACAGTTTGCCTTTCGCTGCACAGGTTTGGAGGAAGTCAAGTGTTCTCTCCTAACATTAGCAGCCTAGAGGGGAAGAGTCGAATGAGGGTTTTAGCAAAATGGCAAATTGAGGGGAGGAGGAAGAATAATTCAGGGCCACACAATGCGTTGCTCTCCTAAGCGGACAAGTTAGAAAAATAGATATTACACTTGATAGAAAGACTGGGATCCCCAAAGATAATTTTTTGAACCCTGTCTTATCATATTGTTTCCTCAATCCAAGTCATGCTGGACTATCATCACTGCTTTAGACTTGCAGGCTGGCAAATTCATACGTGCATCCAGCACCTGTGTACAGTTGAAACTGTACTTCTGACTCCCTAAAACAGGGGTGGTAAATGTAATGCCCCACAAATCTTACTGGACTGTAATTCTCACTGTCCTTCACTGTTGGCTATGCTGATTAGCAGCCCAAAAATGTGGGGAGAAGCAGTTTCCCACCCCTGTCCAAAAATAAATATCTGGATCATTTACTCCATGTTACTTTAAGAGAGGTAAAGTGCCAGTAAAGACTATTTTAGCAGAAGGCAAGAGAATGTTTTTAGTGTGTTTCAACAGGAAAACATACAGCTTGCTTTTACCATCATGACTGTACCAATTATGAGAAAACCGTAAATGCATCAGACCCCACTCTCTGCAGTTTATATCCTGTGCATAAACACCACTGGAAACGGCAACCATTAAAATGCTCTTGACTTTAATGGCTTGCAGTCACAATAGACACAATCTTTTCTAAAGTCCATCTCTTGTCCTACCTCAACTGGAAGTAATGGTGGCATTTAACATGTCAGTAACCATTTTGAGAGGGATCTGATCCCACACACACCCAGTAGGGTACAAGCTGCAAAGCACAAGCAATAACTCAGTGAAATGGGAGGAAAGTGAAGGCTGGGGAAGCGGAGACCTTTGCAAACTTCCATTGCCTTTCACATTGGACTGGGGTGGGTCAGAAACAAGGAACCCTCTCCAGCCTTTTGGATTTTAGTTTTAAGATTGAAAAGAAACTACAGTCACCTTCAGCATTAACATCTTACAGGCCTGTAAGTGGCACATGTCCACTCCTCCCCTTGTGGACCGATACTGGTCGAGCAGGTGCAGCAGGCAGCATAAGACAAAAGCAGTTGTTGTAGAAGAGATCTGATTTGCCACAAAACACCAGGATATTAAAGACAACAGGTGATGCACTGTGGAGTGTTCAGTTGAGTCTGACATGCAAAAAGGAGAGATGACGAGGTCTCTGAAGGGGGCTGATTGTTACGCTCTTGTCCGGGTGCACCATATGGAAGACAGAAGACAAACCCAGCAAGGTAGTCTCCTGCTTGGCTGCATTCCTGGTCACCGGCTCCTGAGCAAGATGCTGGCTTCATTCTTAATCCAGTGGGCTACTGCAAAGAAAGAGAGGGCAACTGCCACAAGGGGCAAGTGTATCTTGGGGGGAGGGGCTGAGGGCACAGACGCTGGAAGCACAGACAGACGGGCATCCAGAGAAGGGAAGTGCATGCAAATTCACAAGCCAGTTGTGCACCAGGCATTATTCACCAAAGCTGCAAAAGAAAGAGGATCAGGGATCTCATTCTGCACTGAAACAGGCTGAGGGGAGGAAATGGCAAGCCCAAAAAAACAACACATAACCTAGCATCCGCCTACATATGGCCTTAAGCAGAATCTGTCTTATTTTATCTGAGAATTAAGAGATACAAAATTGGGTTCAAATTTAAATCATGGGTCACCTACACATCACAATATATATGAATTAGTATTTGAAATGCATTTAGTGCTCTTTCAGCACTTGCTGGTATCTTTTCCACAACTGTTTCTATCCTTAGAATGTGCAAGAATTGAATCTGTGGGGGCACTAACCCAAATGCAGACTCTTCCAACTAGATTTATGTAGCCATAGCCAGAAGACAAATGGCCCCAGAGTCCAAAATATTCATAAATATTAGGTGGTATCATGTATCTGTTTAAGGGGATCATATGTTTGTATATCCTCCCTACCTCCATCCAAGACTCCTTCCATATAAATTTTGTATGTTCCATAGAAATGGTTTAGTCTGCCTCTCCCTTTGATATGCTGGTTTTCCATGTTAAGAGGGCCTGAATGATTCCCTCCCTCTCGCAATCTAAAAAAGGTACAGTTCAGGAGAAGCTATCCAGCATTTTTAATACATTGTCCATACTGAAACATTCCATTTGAATTTGAGCTTCTTGGTGACAGAAATCAAATTAATGGCCTGGAATAAGAACAGAACACAATGCATGTGCTGGATTATCTCCTCTGCATGTATAGCACAGCCATTCAAAAGAACCTTCCAATATGACTGAGTGATCAAATCCTGCCGTGGAATATATGGTAAAAATTGGGACTGGGTGGTCAGAAAGCATGGCATCCGTGCAAATGTCAGGCATAAAAATTCTGTCCCACAAAGTTGTAACATACATGTACATACACAAAGCAGTACCAGAGGTTAACAAATGGTAACAATCACAGCAAAAAAAAGGACCTAACCACCAAATTGGGCTGATTTGGGGATCAAATAACATAAAAGCCAAGGACCAAGGTATTTCTTTTTGTAAAACAGTTTACAAAAAGGACTCTTGCCAAATTCCTATTGGGGCCAGTGGTAAACGGTATATAAGCATGCATGCCGATTAGACAAGAATAAATGAACACGCCCCTGTCAGATGTCCTTATTGTTACTTACGCTCCTTCTTCTCTTAGAAGTGCCAGGAATTTTCTCACACGGTATTCTGGATCCATCTTCACACATTAAAAAAAGAACACAAAAAGATACACAGATTTTCTGGTTAACCACATCAAACTCGCAGGAGGACAGAAAGCAAAGCAGCAATGCCATTCTTTCCCCTACTTTAATAATAACTGTGTGCTGTCAAGTTAATTCTGATTTATGGTGACCCTTTACAGGGGTTTCTGGGTAGAGAATACCCCAACGTGGTTTATCGCACTCTTCTTCCAGGGATGCCCTGGGACTGGGGGACATGCCCAAGCCACACAAGCTGCCTCTACTTGCAGGAGGCACAGTGGAGAATCCAGCTTCCAGAACCACATCACTCAGCTAGCTAGCCAGCTTCACTCACTCTACCACTCACTTTTTTATTAAACCACCCTGTGAAATGTTTGAGTAACAGCTACCAAAACAGCATGAAATCTTAGCAGGATCACATTCCACAATTCTCTGCACAACCCTGGGAATAGGCACTGCACAGAGTATTCAACAAAATTAAACTTGCGTTATGTTTAGAGAAGTCATCTGACCAAATGTGGGATATGTAAAAGGGGCTAAATGGATGCCAGAAATCTGGGCAAGCTGCATAGCCCACGGACACTCGCAGAAGAAGGGAATGGTAAAGCATTTCTAAGAACACTATACCTAGAAAATTCTGGAAAAGGTGCCATAAGACAGATTTGATTTGACAGCACACAATTATAAATTAATTAATTAATTATAAAGTACCTAAATACAGTAAGGTAAAGGTAAAGGTTCCCCTTGACAATTTTTGTCCAGTCATGTTCGACTCTAGGGGGCGGTGCTCATCCCCGTTTCCAAGCCATAGAGCCAGCATTTTGTCCGAAGACAATCTTCCGTGGTCACATGGCCAGTGCGACTTAGACACGGAACGCTGTTACCTTCCCACCGAGGTGGTCCCTATTTATCTACTTGCATTTGCAAGTAGATAAATACAGTATACCTAAATACAGTATAAAAGAAAAAACGATATTATTGTTGTTTCTTTAAGCCTCACAAATTTATTTCAATGTATCCTTTCAAGGCCTACAATCTACTTCTTCAGATGCAATACACTGTTGTCATTACCAGTTTGGCTAGCCTCCAAAGGACACTGAAAACTATTTCCGTTTCTCCAAGTTCACACGGGGCTCCATTCTTCAAATCACAGTAGCCACGGCCAAATGCAACTCCACGTGGCAGTTTATTTTAAAGCTCAAGTGAGGCAGAGGGTAATATGGCATGCTGTTCATGAGATCAGGGATAAAAATCACACTGGGGACGTTTTCAATCTTTTGGACTGTACAGAATAATTCTTCTGAAAATATTTTAGGACTACCATCACGTCAGTCTGACTTACAGCCACCCTGATAGGGTTTTCAAAATATGTGAGACATTTGACTGGTTTCAGCACTGCCCCTACCCCCCTGAGTTTCCAGTACTAAGCAGGGACTAGAACCCGGGTCTCCTGAGCCCTAGTGGGTCACTAGGCAGAGATAAATTCTCTTTTCAACATGTTACTGGATATCAATCCAAGAGAGACCTTTTGAAGTCTATAAAAAAAGTGAAATTGGCCACAATGAGGACAGACTCTAATCTTAAAGTAGGTTTCTGCCCATTATGTACACTTTAATAGGTGTGAGCAATAACTTACTGACTTTTGCCTGTGGGAATGGAATTAGAGTCAAGGGAAGAGAGGAAAAAAGTAATCTAGATAAATGACTTTGTACCCTCGGGTGACATGCAGTCAGAGCAGAACCCCAGCCCTATACAAGTTTCAACAGAACTGCAAAGAACGAGTCAAGCAGGAGGGAATGGGAAAGCGTTTAACACATTGATGAACTGCATGCCTCGTAGCTTATGCTTAAAAGCATGTCCTGCAAAGATGCAAAAAGTCTGTGTATTTGCGAAGGCTTTCACGGCCGGGATCTAATGGTTGTTGTGGGTTTTTCGGGCTCTTTGGCCGTGTTCTGAAGGTTGTTCTTCCTGACGTTCCTGATAATCTCTGCTCCTTATCACAACAGTACACCCACAACAAGACACACTAATCACCCATCTACAGAAAAAGACAAAAGCCTATCTCACAGCCATAAATACTCCACTCCCAAGCCAACTACACCAGAGCACAGAGTGCTGACCTCTGAAGATGCCGGCCACAGAGACTGGAGAAATGTCAGGAAGAACAACCTTCAGAACACGGCCAAAGAGCCCAAAAAACCCCCAACAACCAAAAAGTCTGTATTTAGCTGCACCAGACAACAGCTGATGGGGCAAGGAGAGGGGACACAGCTCTGGAATAGAATGGAAGCATTAACTGCTGATTATTGAGGGCATTGTCCACCAGCAAAGTGTCCCCTATGAGTCCCATCAAAATTGATACAGGTAACACAGAAGGTGCAAAAAGCCGCCACTCCCATTAGTTTCCGTAAGGCATATTCAGGACATAGTGCTGCAGATCAGGGCAGGGGGACCTTCTGGCCTGCTAGGGGTCCACACCCTCTGTTCCTCCTGCTATCTCCACAGCTGGTGACAGGAAGTAACAGCAGAGATTCCTGTGCACACAAAAGGAATTGCTGCTGCCATTTCCAATTGCTAACTGGAGAAAGCAGGCATTTCCCTTTCCTGATCTAAAGTTGTGCTCCCAGCACTTCTGATATAGCAACCTTTTATGGCAGATATTTTTTTAACCTTCCAAATGTGCTAATCACAAGTAAATGGCTCTATATATAGATGATCCAATATACACGAGTCCATTCTGCTGTTACAGCTACTATAAGAACCACAGATACACTTGGCATCTATTAATATACCTCCGTCCAACACCCTGCCTTTTGCCTGCCTCAGGGATCCAAAGAACTGTGCAACTGATTACAAGGAAGGATGTACCTTCAGAAGCAGCCCCAATAACTCCTTGTAATCTAGGGGTGAGCAATTAATTTCTATAGGGGGCCACATGAAAAATCTGAACCGTGTTGAGGGGCCGAACCAACTTTACTTAAAAATAAAATGAAACAGTGATGTTATGATTGTTTTTATTTTAAACTTGTTGATCTTCACAAATACTAAAGAGGTTTTTTGCGGTATGTTAAAGATAAGCAACTGATCAACTTTAGACAAAAAGCTATAAATGGTTTTAATGTTCAACTTGTTCAGTGACAGAAATCCAGTCTGTCTTGGGCTTGAACACTGGACTGGAGCAACGACCGGTGGCCCGGACAGGAACGGCTTGTGGGCCATATGTGGCCCTCAGGCCGCACTTTGCCCAGGTTGTAATCGAATGCCATGTAGCTCACCTTGCAAACTCAAGTTGCATCAGTTTGGGTGAGGGAAGTATCCCAGGATGCCAATCAAGGCTTTCAGATGATGAAATTCTGGGACTCCTTCACTTAAAAGAATGCTTGCCTTGATTCATCGCCCAGTGTAGGGGTGGCAGCCTATGTTTTAAACCTCAATAAACCAACTATTTAGAATCAGATGTTCAGGTGTCAGTGGCAACTTGGCATCTAAATAAGGAGCAGGAAATTCTTTTGCAGAATTCTTTTGCAACCTACTGCAGCATCAGCTCTTCTGGAAACACTACAAGAAAGGAGTAGCATATGCTAACAATCCTCCTCCACTGACACTACTGCAAAATGGAAGGGAGTAGAGAACGTGGTCTGCCTCTGAAGAGGAGGTGGTCATCCTCTGCCCCACCATCTGCTCTACATTTTGCAGAGAAACGCTCACAATTTATTAACTAGGATAATGCAGTCCAGTCCAATGTCAACAGGTACAAATATCATGAAAAAGCAGCTAGGAATGACACCCCAGTATATGCTTTTTAGGGCTTCATCACCATTGGCATTTCATTGAGTTTGTTCCCTGTTTTGAGCTTTTAGAACTGGAAGAGCTGAAATGAATGAGCACCTTATTATCTTCCAGTTGCAACTTTGGAACTTGTGCCATCAAGTCAGAACCTATTGACAGCAGTCTTAATGGCTTTCAAAGTAAGTCAGATGTTTAAGGACCAGAACCTATTGACAGCAGTCCTAGTGGCTTTCAAAGTAAGGAATAGTTTTCTCCGAGTCTCTCCACCTCCACCACTATAAGTGAGGTTCTATGGCAGACATTAAAAATTAAGACTCCAGTTTTATTTTTCCAGTGCTCTTTTCCAACATTCTGGCTTGGCCAGAAGGCAAGCCACCCATCTGCTTAGCAAAAGGGCAAGCGTCTCACCTGTAATGACATCTCAATCAACATCAGGAGCTTCTTGATGCCGATCCAGACCTTCCTCCCTTTGACATTTTGGACAATGGTGCCACGCTCCTTGTCTTTGAAGCTGCCCAGGAGCTGAAAGCACAAATAAGGTCAAAAAACAGCTTGAAGAACAGCCCAGTACAGCCATTATGGGAACAGATGGGTACCTCCCAGCCCTAAAAGAGGGATTTCTATGTGATCTACTGAAAAGGCAAATTAAAAACCCACAGCACTCCAAAGCACAACCTCCCCACAAGGTATCAAGGTTACTGTACTCCACTGATAGGAATCATGCTCTCAACCTGTCCTTTTTCTCCCACTCCCACAGTTTAATAGAAGCTGGGCTCCTCTTTCAGATTCATCCCTGCTCCCAGGTATTCCTAAGTGCTTCCTGACCTCCAAGGCCTCCACCAGATGGTCTCCTGTGGCAATGTTGGGAACATGAATAGTAGTGCTGAAAGCATCCAGCATTTCCATCTCCTGCAGGACATCCTTGCGACTGGTAGTCCCAATGATCAAAAGCTTGCGACCCTGCATTTTGAAAAAGAGCAGGAGAAAAGGAATTTTAATGTTATTATAAATATATGTATCTGCTGAAAATACAATATTATGATCTATAATCACAGTAATAAACTACGTTGCTGTTGTTACGTGCTGTCAAGTTGCCTCCGACTTATTTATTTATTTATTTAATTTATATGCCGCCCACTCTACCCAAAGGTCTCTGGGCGGCTTACAACAATTAAAATTCAATACAATAAAATATAAAATGATTAAAATACGATTAAAATACGATTAAAATACAATTAAAATTGCCACCATCAAGACCCACAGTTAATGTCATTTCAATTAAAAGCCTTCTGGAACAGGAAGGTTTTGACCTGGCGCCGAAATATCATCAGTGTCGGCGCCAGACGAATTTCAGTTGGGAGGGCGTTCCATAGTCTGGGGCAGCTGCCAAGAAGGCCCTTTGTCTACAAGCCATCCCTCTTACCTCCTTGAGGGATGGCTCTTTCAAAAGGGCCCCCTGGCTAGATCTTAACAGCCGGGTAGGCTCATATGGAAGGAGACAACTCTATGAATGACTGATCTCTAAAGTGTCCAGACCTCACCTCCCCGGCTCAGCATTTGTACACTCAAGCCTCTGACTTCCTTTAGAGAACCAGTCCATCTCATATTTGGTCTTCTTTTCCTTCTGCCTTCAAACTTTCACAACATTATTGTCTCTTCCAGAGTTTCAACATTCTTGCCGTCAGAGATAATTCAGACTTGAGTTGTTTGTCTTTCTGGCCATCAAAGCTCTCCTCCAGCTCTCCTCAAAGCTCCCCTCCAGCACCACATTTCAAATGAATCAATTTTTTCCCCTGTCATCTTTCTTAATTGTCCAGCTTTCACATCCTTACATGGTGATCAGAAGTATAAGAGTGTGGATGACTTTGGTCTTAGTCTCCAGTGATACATCCCTACCTTCTGATTATCTTTTTAAATTCCTTCATCACTGCTCTTCCTAGTTTTAGTCTTCTTCTGATTTCTTGACTGCAGTTTTCATTTGGATTGATAAGGTATCTAATAAATTATGACCACTGATTAACGTACAGAAAGAAAAAAACAGTTTTAAACTTTAGCCTTCACCACTCTTTTTAAACCCATGGTTTCCAAATCTGGGGTCCCAAGAAGTCCTAGCCAATATAACCAGTACTATAATTTTGGGAATTATAGTAAAATATATTTGAGGATCCAAGTTTGGGAATAGCTGCTTTCAACAGTCAGCATCTTAAGCCATAAGTAATATAAGGGTTTAAAATAGTTCTTTCTCAAAACCATAAGGCCTATATAAATCTACAGAGTAGCTTAATAGCTAAAAAATTAAGTTGCCCAATTTTGCTTATGAGTTTCCCCAACACTTCAAGCAAAGTGAAATTTTCTTCTAAGGCAAAAGAGTAATAGCACATATTTCGTGTACTGCCCTTGAACTTGTGTAGGCTTCCTGTTCTGAAATAGCGCTATTCTACTTTCACTAGAGGTTCCAAAGACAAAATGGAAAATTGGGGGAGAGAGTGAAATCCAAGGATCATTCAGGGGTTTGCTTAATAGTTCCTCCATGGCACCACCGAGAAATGAAACTGCTATTTTTTCTTCTTCTATAAATGTGTTTCTTTCCTATTTTTCAAGAACCCTAGCACCCTAAGGTTAGCTCTCTGGCAAGGCTAGCTAGCTTGATTACAAAATAATAACGGTGAACTGTTTGAAGTAAAACAGGCTTGCTTACTGCTGCAATTAGAAAGTGCTACTGCTGGCCGTGCATTAAAGCATTAAGGAGGTAATTGCAATGAAACGCAGAGCCCATCCTGAAAATAAAGCTAACTTGCCAGCCGGAAGGTCATGCATGCAGTTTAAACATGCCTGCTACTGATTTGATTTACCAAACACACACCAAAAAAAAAATAAAAAAATACAAGAGCGCATTGTCAGGCACGCCCTTCATTTGAACTGGGAACACCAGCTTATTAAGATATTCAATTATTAGTACTATGCTGTTGTCCAAATCTAATGGACAGCTAGTTTATTAATACAGTCCATAGGATCAGTCTAATTTTCGAGGCACATACAGAGAGATAGAAACTCCAGTATGCACCCTTCTGCTGCCAAACCATGGGTGTAGGTAGCAGGTATAGGGATTCAATACAAAGGTCGAGGGAATCACAGCTCCCTCAAATGGGAATTTCCAGAGGCGTGTTTATTGCCTCAAGTCCTGGGAAATAACTAGGAAGTGATTTTCAAGGGAAAGGTAGCAGGAAAAGGGATCAACACTATCTCTTGCCTACCTGTTCTCTACTGAGGAATACACTGTAATATCCATTTATGGCAGCAAATACTAGATACCATTTCCCAATCCTATCTTTTCTGTCTCAGAAACGTTAAAATCACCTGTCACTGAGTCTTCAGCTTTCTGACTTTGGTTTCTGATACCAAAGGCCTGTTTTCTGTAATTTTTTCCTCACCAACAATGAAGAAAAATTCTAAAATAAAATTAAGGAGACATTTTAATCGCTTAATGGTAGTCTAAGAGGATGAAATAGGAAAAAAACAAGTCAGTCATTGGCTCTCAGAATCCTGAAGATATCAGACTCTCTAAAAGTTACTTCAAGTATTCTGATATTGAAGCAGTATCCACTGATTCTGAGAGATTCAATCTACATAGAACATTGTCTTCTGAGAGTTTTAAGCAGTGAGAGGAATGCTGGCGGCATTATGAATTTACCGCTACTTGATTTTTGCACTGACTCCCTCCAAAGATCTAGGGATGCTTAAAAAGTAGGGCTCAAGGAGGGGATTTCTGTATTTTCCTCAGAGGCACAAGGCTCAAAGTTCCAACAATCCAGTGGAAAAACAAGTTTCTATTTTCTTCTCCTCCACACCTTTCTTTACAACCCTTCTTTAGGAATAATTTAAAGAAATACGCAAGATTAATTAGGAGATGAAAGAAAAATCAAAGAAGAGTGAACAGATTGGCTAATCTTAGATTTACTCGGCATGGGAAAATTAAGATTAATAAACTTCCCCAAATTAATATTCTTCCTAAAATATTCCCATTGCTATTTTAGAAGTGAAAATAAAAGAATGACAATGTGATTCACGCTTTCATACAAAGGTGTGGGGTGAAATGTGAGAATAGAAAGATGGATTTTCAATTCCAAATGTATCCTACTGTGTTTCCCTGAAAATAAGACAGGGTTTTATATTAATTTTTTCTCCAAAAAAAACTGCATTAGGGCTTATTTTCAGGGGATGTTTTATTTTACGGTCATGTCATCTTTGTCTGGTTGCTGCACAATGGTAGAAAGCGGGGGTTTAACTGAACTAGGGCGTATTTGGCGGGTAGGGCTTACATTACGAGCATCCTGAAAAATCATACTAGGGCTTATTTTCAGGTTAGGTCTTATTTTGGGGGAAATGGTATATTTTCATGTAAATGATTTAAATTAGATAAAGGACTGGTTTCTAACTCTTTCAAGAACTGGTTAAGTTAAATGACAAATTGGAAATTTTATTGGCAGGTTTGTCCACCTCCGCTTTTGTTGTATGTAAACAATCCTACTGTTTACATACAATCCTATTGTTTACATACACTGGAATAAGTGGCATGAGTCACAGCAGCAAATTGTGGCTAGTTAAGGAACCGCCATTTGTATTCCTTGCTGCATGCCAGTATTATGACTTGGTGCACAACAAGAAATATAAGTAGTATCTTCAATTAACAGCAATTTGTATCTGGAACTTACAACATTGCACTAACACTGGTGTATGTAAGCCATAGGAGTCTGGCCAATGTGTGCACTTAAAGACAGAACTGCCACAAAATTTCAAGTGTGTGCACTATACAGAGATGAAATACTCAAGGATCACAATTACAACAGACTCTTTTTCAAGGGTAGAAGAAAAGACAGGCTTATGTGAAAGAAACCCAGATATCTCTGGGATCCATAGACAGACCACCACTCTGTTAGCATTTTGAATTAACTCAAGAAAGCTTATCCCTTTCCCCGCAATCCTGCCAAAATCTGTAGGGCAAACATAGGGAAGCAATCTTTTCTAGGAAGCACCCCCCAAAAGAGTCCACTGGACTTCTGGTAACACTGACCAAATTGTCTGTACAGCTTAAGAAAAAAAAAAGGGTGGGGGAAGGGGGAGAGATACTGCAATGGGCTTTCACCCTCCGAGCCCAATTGTGAGCTTTTTCAGAGGAACCAGCAGGGAACCACATGTGAAGCCTCCATGGGGTTCCCCAGCATCCAATGGCTTGTGTGATTCTGCATGTCGATGAAGTGAGCCTCTCCGGTTTGGCGAGCTCTTTTTGCTCCATTCTCAGAGAAACCCTTTTTTCTTTGGCTTGGCTCCCTGCTGAGACAGTGCTTTTCAGTCCCCCCCCTCCCTTCGCCAACCTTCATTCCTTTCCCTCAACAATCTCTTCTCCTTGCAAAGCTCAGAGAAACCCTGACTGAAATAAAAGAGGAGAGGGAGGGAAATAATGATTTTGCTTCCCATTATTTCAGGAAAGCTTATAAAACGTTTTAAGAAGTCTGAAAGTTGAGTTTTTCTCTATGTTTTGAATTCTTCTTCAACTAGTAATAAAGAAGATACCCACAAGTGCACGCACCCACGAGCACGTGCACACACACACACATTTACTCCTTGAGAGAAATGCACACAGTGAAAAAGTGAACAGGAAATTCTAGGAGCCCTATGTATAACCAGGGTATTCATTCACAACATGACATACAATAAACCAGAAATTCATCTGTCGGGGAAGGATTTACAAGGACATGGAGATGGAAAGGCAACACAAATGACACGATACACAATGCAAATAATACTTTCCGCCCACTGCATCTGGAAACCTCACACAACTCTTGGTTTATGAAGCCTGGAAGCAACCATGCTACAGAATAAGCATTTTCATTCAAAAGACTTCAGTTATTTTATGGTGATTCCTATACCTAAGCCTCAGAAGATGACTGCAAACTTTAAAGAAAAAATGAATATTTTATGGCTTAGGGCCCAGTGTCTTATCAAATAAAATATCACATAAATCTTCTCACATGGTATCTGCACCATGACAGCATCATGCGGGGAGGTGCTTGTGCAAGTGTGCCACCGTGTGGAATAATATACATTTAATTGTATCTCACATCAGTACCTCATTCTTCCCTTCAAGGAGCTCAGAAATGCCTGCAAGAGCTTTTCTTCTCTCAATAAAAATCCAGGCAGGTAAGTGTGAAATACTCACTTTCCAAGGTCATCTTACTTCTGTAAAAATAGCTGAGAAGTTCCATTTGAAAGGGGCATGAGCACTCCCACATAGCCATCTCACATTACAAAACGCCATGGTGAATTTAATGCTTTACAATTTTAGTAGGTGCTTTAAAATAAACGGCTGGACTGGAGGAATCCCAAGCTGGAATTAAGACTGCCGGAAGAAATATCAACAACTTCAGATATGCAGATGATATCACTCTGATGGCAGAAAGTGAGGAGGAATTAAAGAACCTCTTAATGAAGGTGAAAGAGGAAAGCTCAAAAAATGGTGTGAAGCTCAACATAAAAAAAACCAAGATCATGGCCACTGGACCGATCACCTCCTGGCAAATAGAAGGGGAAGATATGGAGGCAGTGACAGATTTTAGTTTCTTGGGCTGCACGATCACTGCACATTATGACGGCAGCCACGAAATTAAAAGGCGCCTGCTTCTGGGGAAGAAAGCGATGACAAACCTAGATAGCATCTTAAAAAGCAGAGACATCACCTTGCCGACAAAGATCC